TAGATTAGTCATTTTATTTCTGTTAAGTTATGTGCTTATGTGGCAGTTTTAATAGAGACTTCCTGTCCCATACTTAAGTGGGGGGGGGGGCTGTTTAGTCTTTGTACAACTAATTAGATGCTAATTCATATTAGGGTCGACTGATAGGGTTTAAGCTATCAGATTCGGCTGTTCCTTTTCTTCTTCTTCTTCTTCTTCCTCTGGTTCGAATTGCTGAAGCCACTGAGATAAACATCAGCCAACCCACTATTATCTTAGAATCACCTTCCGCAATTATGTTTATCATATTCAATCTCTCCGCCATCCTAATCTGCATTCAATTTTCTTGAGTCCCCAAAACCTATGAGACCTGAATATAATGCAACCACAACCCCATGCCTGTCTCTGAAAATTCCTCAATGCCCGGAGACATCTAGGTTTCCAATGCTACACCCATCAAAATTTTACTTGATCTATTCTGAAGGTGGAGGAATTCATTCTTTTAATACTTGAATTCTCAGCACTGGAGACTGTGCCACAACCTGCCAACCCCTCATAATATCATCCTTAGAGTAAGGTGCAAATATATCCAAAATTTTGATCCAATTGACCACTTTAAAAGCAATATTTTTATCACCTCTTCCTTACTCCTTAGGCTTCTTTTTCTCCCGAAATATGGTTGGATAATCAAGGAATATGGCAATGAAGTTTGGCAGGATACCAAAGATAGATATGGAATTTGGGAATTTAATTAAGTAGAAAGTAATTTGAGATTGAAAATTAAGGATAAAAGATAGAATATGGTTGGGCAGAACATATAATAGTGGTTCTAAAATGAGATTTCAGAAATGAAATTTGGAAGAAAACCAAAAGATAATCAAGGGAGAAGAGTAGTTGCTGCATTAGACAGAAAACATTTAATATACAAAGCATAGATTGAAAGCAACCATCCTAGCATAACCTTGCCCATTTGACACTACAGTTGGGTTAAGGTGTAGTGCATTGTCTCCAGAGAACACGCTAGCATTAGCATGAAAAGACAAATCAGGATCTATGATCATGAGAGTTTGGCAAAAGTTAATAGTGTTGTCTGCCAACCTGATGCAGCCCTTCTCCTTTATTTGGGCTTGTGTTGGTGGTGTTAGACAAGCTCACATTGGTGGACTAAAAGCAACTGCAATATGTTTTAAAATTTTATGAAGACTTAAATCTTGTAACCAACTAGTGCTCTATTAGTAAAATGGTTATAACTCTCTTAAGACATATTGGGTTGACAATCTTGGTCTTGTTGCATAATTCACTCATGGTGCATGAAAAGTGACAAATGCACTTCTTTACATTCTAAAAACCCTCTGTAAGACTCTTTAATTATTGTCACATAGATTAATTAAAGGTATTCTTATGGCGGTAATGGAATAAAAAATAACTTAAAAACCATCACAAATTTTCCAAATGAAAAAAACATAAGAGTATCTTTTTTTTGGTAACTAAAAAACATAAAATTATCAAAGTGGCACTGATATTGGATTTTCACCAGTTTTTTTAATCCCCTTGGAATAGCCTACTGGTAGTTCTCCTTTGGGAAATAATCCTAATCCCTGCTTTAGATGGCTCTTGCTCTGATAGAGACATATTGGCTCTACTATTTTGCTTGTCTTTGCAAATATCTTTTTTGAGGCTTCCACAAAAGTCCATCTTTTTCAAGGCATGAGGATTCCATTGCATCAATATGGTATCTTAATAAGAATTTGTATGTTAATGAGAAAAATATCTTATTTTGGTTGGCAAAGAGAGTTTTAGATATATGGAGAAAACACATTTTGGTGCATGTATAGAAGAATAAAGAAGGCACCAAGTTGCACCAATTATATGATGGAATAAAGTTTGTGATCCATATATGATGAAATAAAGCAATTGAGTGAAACTAAATTAGGGGTGGCACATTGGGTAAGATGCATGGCTACTTTTTTTCATTATTTCCACCAATGACATTTAAGAAATTGGAAAATCATTGCTGGATCTTCTTCAATAAGGGCACCAATGTTGAAGATTTGGTCACCTCTTTCGCATCCCTTGTTAGAACGAATTTTGATAGTTGCATCTTAGGTAACATTGAAGAAACACTTAGAAGTGTTTATAGAGCTAGATTGGCCCTCTTCTCATGATCTATTGGACAAGGTGATTCTATGAAAGCAGGATAAATGGTTGTCTTGCATGGTTTAAGACCGGGCAATCCCTCAATTACAGCAATATAATAGTGGAGGATGATTCAAAGGTAGTGGTGCACTGGTTCAGAAATAACACTATTGGAACTCGAAAATATAGGTTACTTATGAGAGAAGTTAGAAATTGGTTACTGACTTAATGCAACCTTTCATTGGACCCACACATCAGCCAACAGCATGGCTGATGCCTAGGTTAGACAAGGAGCAAATGGTGTTTAGAAGTCAGTTGAGCTGAGTTTATATTGCCTATATTTTTATTATTGGTGGCAGGGGCATATTGTAATTTCTCTGCTCGTATTCAGTATCACATATAAATGCTGCACATGCACCTAAAGATTGCCCCTTCTCTTCAACCTTTTTTCTTCTTTCTTTCTTCTTCTTTTCTTCCCTATTTTAAACCTTTTATTTCTGGTTATATGGCTACTTGATATTTACTGATTTCATTGGCATATTTCACAAGTTGGTCTTAGAGCAGGTTTCTCCTTATCTTCTCTATGCATAATGCACTATTAGGATAGGCAGTGCCTATGGGGATCTGATTTTCTGAACATTCAAGGACCAATCACCTGGTTTCTGGAGAAAAAAATTGATAAGCTTTGAAGCCAAAAAGGAGTTTCTAGAGGTGATGCCCAAAAATCAAGAAAACCAGAGGACACTGTTTGGAATTGATTGGAGGCTGTTTGTTGTAATTGGAGTTGGCTAAGAATAGCACCTATTTCTCCTTCAGCTTTTCCCTGTGTTAGTGTTAGGGGTACTCTGTGCTTTGATTGAGTTATTGGCCTAAATATGGACAAATTATGGTTCTGTAAAGGAATTGCTTATTGAGGTTATTTTCATTTTTAAATTGGAGTCCTAATTTTATGATTTATTTTGGTTACTCTCCTTTAAGTTTGAGTGCTTAATAATTTATCATTAAAGTATTTGGCAATTGTCTTCTAAAGTATTTGATTCAAACTTTTTAATATCCACCCTCCCTATGGTAAGAGAACATGCATGTATAAAGATTCTGGTTAGCTAAACACTTTCTATTCTACAGGGTGCTAAAACAAATTTTGGCCGCATGAGAGATACTGAAGAAGTTGTTCCCAGTTCTCAGATGGGAAGTCCTATGTCTTCCAGTTTTCTCACAAATAATACTCAAGTACCATCACAGACCATGGATACCACAAGCCTGAATAGCACCCAGGCATCAGAATACGAAGATGCTGAATCTGGTAATTTATAATCTCACCGGCCCTGTTTTTTGGTGTTGTTATCTCATTATGAGCACTGAATAAATATAAATGTGGTATAGGTTGATCATCATATATATCATATTCCCAATATGCAAACCTAATGCTTCATTGAAAGTTTACCGAAATTTGGTGTTGGTGTGTTTCAGATAATCACCAAGCTAGTTCGAGGTATCATTCTATTTTTGAGTCACAACAATCTGAGGACAGCGCTGTGATGAACAAGATGGATGCTAACCTGTTGAACTCCTATTATCCAGATCCATGTCAAAGTAAAAGGCTTTTATCTGTTCCCTACTCCTTCCTCTTTCCTTTTCGGTGTGCTTCTCATCAGTGACTGTATGATATGACACATTAACATGATAGTACATTTGAAACCATTGCCAGATAATTATCAAGGAAAGAAACCTGCTGTTCCTGGACTGGATTTTGTTTCACTTGTTCAAGAAAATAGAGGTAGAGATGGTAATGATGCTAGATTTTTGCCAACGTCAGAGCCCCAAAAACAGGTTAACTTGACATGCTGGGATGTCTTGGAACATTGCACAACTGGATTTCAAAATGCATCTTTTCAACCATTGATTTTATCCTCACAACCTGCTGCCATCGGGGTTATCCCTAAAGAAGAAAGTGTGATACCTGGACAATTTTTAGCAGAAGAGTTTACTAATCCGGAGATTGCAGGTCAACCAGATGGCCAAGAAAAATGGCAGGTATCTAATGGTTCAATCACAATGCACTATTTTAAATTCTATATCAATGTAACAGGTCTAGATTTTGCAATTTGGATTCTAGTACTTGCTCTATATAGTATGGTGTTTTTTCTATTAATTTAACAATGTTATTTGCTTCTATTTTTGATTGATAACAAAGTGAGAAAATATTATTAAGGGAGAAAAGAACAAAGTTGCAATATTAAGTCTCCTGGAATGGGGCATTGGGCCCAAAAAACCTCTATAAGAGGCTAGCAAGAACACCGTAAGAAAAATAGAGCAAGCCTTCATAACCAATGTTCTGAAAATCATAATCTTATTGTATATTGTACATAAAGTTGATTTACCCAAATTGTTAATTGTATCATAAATTATATGGTTATTTCCCTTTTTGGGAAAATTTTCAGAAAATTACAAATACATACATATATAGCCCATCCCTACCCTTCCCCTGGCCATATCATCTGCCAAAAAACTGGCTGAGTATTCTTTCTCCTTTAAATTTTGGTCATGTTGCATGTAACTCTAGATCCAGATTTTTATTTTCTTCAGATTCAGTTATTTTTTATTGGCTTCTAATTTAACTGGTGCAATCAGACTGCTTCCGTGGACAATTCTTCATACATGTCCAGATGGCCCAAGGACCAGAAGTTACATCCAGATCCAGCATATGCCCTTGAGGCATTCCATATGCATCCTGATCAGCAAAATGGTCATCCTGTACAAAATGACCTTCCGATACAGATTTCTGGTGCAGAACTTGCAAGTGTTTTGAAATCAAATTCAGACCATAATCTGACTATGGAAGGGAACCCATACAATGCAAAACAGCCAATAGAATTCTCTCAAACAGAAGAAGGCTTGAAGAAACTTGACAGCTTTACTCGATGGATGACCAAAGAACTTGGAGAGGTAGATGAATCACACACGAAGTTGAGTTCTGTTGATTGGAATGCTGTTGAAAATGGAACTGAGGTTGATAATTCCGGCATGTCTCAAGCACACTTGCATTCCTACCTGTTGAGTCCCTCCATCTCTCAGGACCAGCTTTTCAGCATTATTGATTTCTCACCAAACTGGGCCTACACAGATTCAGAAGTGAAGGTATTTGTAATTTACTTTACCATTTATCAAGTACTCTATGTAACTTAATATGATGTTCATCACCGTTAATCAAAATGGTATGAACTCTTGGTTTGTGACTTTCTCTTGATTATCTTTGCATGGGGTGAGGATTATTATGTGTCTGCTGAGGGATCTGATTATCTGGGTGTTTTTTTAAGTTGGAACTTTTGTCTTGCTGTTGTGGTCAGCAGCCTTTCTCTTGGGATGCAAGTGCTATGATGGCCTTTTTTTTTCTTTTTTTTTCCTTCTTTTTGGGGGCTGGTGATACAAAGTCTACATGGTGCTTGTTTCTTGTTTCCTTATTTTCTTTGATAACATTTTTAAATTTAGAATTAAATATAAATACTCCAAGTTCCTTGGTTGACTTTTGGATAAATTTGATGCTCACTATTGCTAGGATAACCATGGAAATCATAGGATTGAAATTAACAACTACACCATGTTCTCTTTATTGATGGAATTTATTATCTAACATTTTAATCAGGTGCTAATTACTGGAACATTCTTGAGGACCCAAGAAGATGCAGCAAAATGTAAATGGTCATGTATGTTTGGAGAGGTGGAAGTTTTGGCTGAGGTTATAGGAGATGGTGTTCTTCGTTGCCATGCACCACCTCACACAGCTGGTAGGGTCCCTTTTTATGTAACACGCTCCAACAGATTGGCTTGTAGTGAAGTACGAGAATTTGAGTATCGTGTCAAGCATACTCGTATGGATGCTACAAATATGTCTAGTTCTACAAATGAAATTCTTCTTCATGTACGATTAGGAAAGCTATTATCTATGGGATGTTCCAGTCACCCAACTACTCTCACCAGCAATGTTGGTGAGAAAGCTCATATAAGCAATAAAATCAGTTTGTTAATGAAGGAAGATGATGATGAATGGTTCCATATGGTAAAACTTATCTTGGAGGAGTTTTCTCCAGATCAAATAAAGGATCAGTTACTGCAAAAGTTACTGAAAGAGAAGTTGCATGCATGGCTTCTTTACAAGGTAATTGAAGATGGAAAAGGTCCTAGTGTATTAGATAAGGAAGGGCAAGGTGTGTTGCATTTATCAGCTGCTCTTGGTTATGATTGGGCCATAGCACCAACAGTAGCTGCAGGTGTTAGTATCAATTTCCGTGATGTGAATGGTTGGACTGCACTTCACTGGGCAGCATTTTATGGCAGGTGAGGACCTTTAAATGCATTTTGTTGTCTTTTTATAAAATTTGTTAATCTTTTTGTAGCCATTAAGTTGTTGCCTTATCTCCAAATAGCTAACTTAAGATATGAAGACACTTGATGCGCATGCAGAAGCAATCTTTTGAAAACTGTATCAGGTGCTGAACCAGAAAGGGGCCTGATTGTATTTTTTCTTGATTTAACAGTATGTTTCAACCGCAAAACTATAAATGAGCTTATTTTATTCTTCAGTTATTTTTGGTCATTAATAGCCTAATTGATAGATTGTCTAGCTCATATTAACATTATGGTTATGAAGACCTTTTTCAGCATTAATTCTGATACGCATGCAACTTTACCAAGGATCCCACATTCCCACTTTGCCATATTTGTGAATTATTGCTGTTTTCGTTAAAGGAAAAAACAGAACAAAAGAAATATACCGAATTAAATTGTGTTGTGCTTGGTGGGGCAGAACTGGTTAATAAAATCTTCAAATTCATCATATGACATCCATGGGTTTGTTGGTGAAAGTTTACTGTTTGGATATATTGGATCAATTGTCTGAAATTAATAACCTGGAAATTAACTTTAGCTTTATGTATTTTTGTGTTCCTATTCAATTTCTAACCTTTATAATGGTAAATATGGTGTTTTTTATTGCCTGTATCCTCTTTAATTTTCAGAGAGCGAACAGTTGTTGCCCTTGTCACCCTTGGTGCGGCACCTGGAGCATTGACAGATCCAACTCCCAAATTTCCTTCGGGTAGAACTCCTGCAGACCTGGCCTCCAGCAATGGACACAAGGGGATTGCTGGTTACCTGGCAGAAGCTGCCTTGACCTCCCATCTTTCATCCATTACATTGAAGGATACAAAGGATGGTGATGCTCCAGAAATATCTGGTATGAAAGCTGTACAAACTGTTTCAGAGCGGAGTGCCACTCCTGGATGTGATGGTGATGTGCTAGATGGACTGTCACTGAAGGATTCACTGACTGCTGTAAGGAATGCAACTCAAGCTGCTGCCAGGATTCATCAAGTTTTTAGGGTGCAGTCATTCCAAAGGAAGCAGTTAACTGAATATGGTGACAACAAATTTGGAATGTCAGATGAACATGCACTATCACTTTTATCTGTCAAGACACATAGGGCAGGGCAGCATGATGATCCTCTGCATTCTGCTGCAATACGGATACAGAACAAATTTCGTGGTTGGAAGGGGAGAAAAGAATTCTTGATAATTAGGCAAAGAATTGTTAAAATCCAGGTACATTGCTATTTAATTACTTAACCTAAAGATTGCATTTTGTAGGAACTTCTGATTACTTTCTTCTTTCTTTTGTGGGATTGTTGAAAAATTTCCAGAGAAAAAAAGCTATTTTTTTCTTTTGGTTTTCTTGTTGTTTTCTTTTATTTTGTTTTTGAAGATGTATTAAGAACTTACATGGGAAAGTAGGGTTGCTTCATGGTGTTTCATTTTTTAAGGAATTCTGTCATTTTTTGGTTTGTTCCTTTTCATTTTATTTTGGTATGTTTGTTTGCTTGAACATACAAAGAGATTTTCAAATAAAGTCAAAGTTTGTAAATTCTGACTTCCAACTTCTTTTGAGAAGGCCCATGTGAGGGGGCACCAGGTAAGGAAGCGCTACAAAAACATTGTTTGGTCAGTAGGAATTGTGGAGAAAGCAATTCTGCGTTGGAGAAGAAAAGGGAGTGGCTTGCGTGGTTTCAGGCCTGAACCACTTATTGAGGGATCCAGCACCCAGAATGATCCCTCTAAAGAGGATGATTATGATTTCCTTAAAGAAGGTCGAAAACAAACTGAGGAAAGATTGCAGAAAGCGCTTGCTAGGGTGAAGTCCATGGCTCAGTATCCAGAAGCAAGAGATCAGTATCGTAGGCTGCTGAATGTTGTCTCAGAGTTTCAAGATGCTAAGGTACTTTGCTTTCTCAAATTTTTTCAGCATATATGGCTAATTTAGGGACAAAATTTCCATTATTTGGCATACAACATTAGCTGGAAAAAAGTTGTGTTAAAGCATTTGAAGACCAGATCCTGAATTGAATCTGRAAATAGCCACTTTCAAGACCAATGTTTTTATTCRGAATCCAAAAAATAAATAGTTTCTAAAACATCAGTTTTTGTGCTTCAATTCATCATTTGAAAAAGAATTTTTTCAAACCAAAACTAAAATAAATGCAAGAGTTGTAATGCTTGGTTAGTCAGTTCTGAGAGGATTTATCTATTCTGAACCTAGCTTGGTTTTTTTCTGCTTTTATCCCATTATTATCTCTTTCTTTTGATGAATTGTAGTTAGAATGGGCTGAATGGGCCTTAGTGTTCTTTATTTCTTTGAA